CCCACTAGAGATATCAATTAAGAGACCAAAGTTACAAAGTATGGTACAATATCCAAATTAACCTTCTCAAGTCCAATATTTTTTTTTCTTCTTCTTCTTTGCCTCTAGCCACCACTAAAACTAGTTCCACTTGTAAGATAATGGATTTATAGAGGGTTATAGACCCGGTTTAAACCAGCTTAGAATTATTCTAGAAGGTACACTAAGAACCAATAATGGGAAAACATTATAAATAGGGTCCACATGCCTACATGGAGATCAAATACACTTAATATAGACCCATTTATAGGAAAGATGGCCCATATATACTCTGTCTCTCCTCTAGGGGTGATCATTTCAGTCCAGCCCGGAAATTCCGGGCTTGGGCCTGGGCTTTGTATTCAGGCCCAACTCGGGTCTGGGCCCACATCAGGTTCAAAAATTTTAGGGATGGGTTTAGGTTTAATAATTCAAGCTCGGCCCGTATATATTTAAATTTACACATTTTGTATATAATGCATATAAAATAAGTTTATATGCATGTTATGTGATTTAATATATAGATATATAATGTTTTATATATGAGTGACATTGGCCCGGAATCAGGCCTAGTCCGACACGAAACCCCGGGCCCGGGCCTAAACTATAACCTTTATCATAAGTGCAAAGCCCGGCCTGGCCATGATCACCCCTACTCTCCTCCCCCTTCTTTCTTTCTCCCTCACACCATTTCTACCTTAAAATCTCTCTTCTCTCTCTCTCATGGAGCTCCATTAATACCCTTTCTTTCTTCTCTTGACCATTGATTATCACTTCGGAAATCTATGGTCAAGAACTACAATGATCTGATCCGTAGCTAAATGATCATCCCTTAGAGAGCACGTTGTATAGCTCCTCTGGGGATGTTTGGTCGACTTCTTTTCTCCCCCTTCAAAGACTCGACCATCACTGCCTTTTGGGATTGTATGTGCTTACACCACCAAGCACCTCTTTTGCTTTCTCAGCTTTCGTAACCACTACTTCTAATTATTAGTGGTCCTAACTCGTTGTTCCCCTTTTTAATGACATAACCACCCAACTTGTCCTCTCTCTATCTTTTTCACCTCCCTTTACCTTTCTCTCCATTTCCATCATCCTTGCCATGCTGCATGCTATTCTCTCTCTATTTTCTTCTCTTTCTTTCATTTACACTCTCTTCCTTGCTGATTTTCCACCCACAACATCCATCAATTTAGTTGTATTAGAGCAATTGATTATAATTATAGGTGATACAATGCATCCCGGAGATATGCTAATAATTAACTAATTAAGTTCATATTATCTCTACACTTAGTGCTCATTTGGTGGTCAAGTGGGCCGATGCTTAGTTGGAGGCTGAACTAGAGGAGTTAAGCAACAAGTGCACAAGAGACCAGGAGCAGACAATATGTCGAAAGCCAAGGAAAAATGGACTTTTTGTCTATTCCATCCATCCTAACTGCCTCACATTAGCAAAAAGCGAAATTTCGAAACTTGAAGGGTTCTTTGAGTAGGTTCTGAAAATTTGAGAGTACTTTTAAGTAATTGTCAGATACTGGTAGTAATTAGCCCTATAAGATACTAAAGCATCCCTGTATTTTCATAAGTTTACTAAAGCCTACCCAATTGTTTGCAACTAATTTATTTGATCAATTTTTGATGGTTTTGACCCTAATATTTGTTAGAATAATGGAAAAGACATTCTTAACTAAACCCTAATAAAATATGGACAACCATTTTGTTCGGTCAGTTTTGTTTTCTATTTGAAGTGCTTAGGGGTACTTTTGAACTAAACAACCATCAGTTTAAATTTTCACTATAATTTAACAAGGGAAATATGTGAAAGGGGGTGTTTTAGTAAAAGATCCTACTTTTAAGAGAGACTATGCGAGATAAGATAAGGAAAAATTTTAGGGGTAAATACAAAAATATCTTTCATTGCTTCACACAAAGTTTTTAAACAATAGGAACATTCTTTTCAAAAGTAAACCTTCGAATATTAAAATTTATAATTAAGCAAAACTTAATATTTTGTTTACAATGTGGCGTAGAAATCTTTTAATTATTCCATATAATGGAAATATATAAGTTAGTGAACTCCATAGGAATCAAGAATAAGATGGTCAGAAAAAATCCGAATTAAAGGTAGAGATGAAAGAAAAAGAAACACTTAACAACTTGGTACTTGTATTATTTTTTGTTGTGACGATGCCTTAAATGCAAAACAAACATTAAGAGGTATTTTCCAATGTGTTTTCCCTTTTTTCTTCCGTGAGTTTCAAAAATCAAAACAAAATGATTTGGCTTGATATCGAAAAGACATTATATCCAAAAACTTGTGACCAATCGAGTATCATAAAAGTAGAACCAATCCAGTGGTATGTATCAAAATTTACAATATTTTCTGTGTAAACATGGAAAGCATGTTATTTATTAGTTGCATTTGCATATGTTTTCTCTTTGTTTCCAAAACTGAAAACAAAAACATGGCTTCAATTTTTGGTTTGAAAAACCTGTTTCATTTAATATCTCTCATCGTCTTTCATAAATCTTAAAGAGCATGTTTGGTTCCATTTATGTTTATCAGCATTTGGCGCAATAAACGTTTATTGGCTTCAAAACCACTGTTTGGTATGAGCGTTTACTAAAATAACACATAAAAACATTTATGCACTTATTTTTATTGGTTTTCATGAAAATAGCCGTTGGGGGCTTCCTCCAACGCTTGTGTGTTTCATGAAACACTGTGTTGACATGGATCCTACGTGTCTGCTGACGTGTTGCCCAATGGTGGTGATCCGGTGCAACCCGGATCTACCATCCCAATATGTTTTTTTCCTTTCTTCGATGATCTAAGTCTTAAAGCACCAGTGAGAGGAGTCTTCGCCACCTCAGAGGAGAACACCCAAGCGACGATCGGAGAGAGGAGTCTTCGCCGAAGGGAGGAGTAGTTGCCGCCAGCAAGGTCTTTGTTTTTTCCTTGTTTTCTCTCTATTTTTCCTAACTTTCGGCAACATCTCTGATTTTTATCTCTGTTTTCTTTGATCCCAAAGAAAGAGTTTCTCGTATCTACAACAATCAAAGCCGAAACAGAGGGTATGTCCTTTGAGATCTAGGGTTACTTTCTGTTTTCGTCTATTATTATGCTTGTGCTATGCTTTGAGTTCATGGGAATTATATATTGCAAGTGATTCTATTTTCATCCGTTAGTAAAAATGACAAAATAAGAGGATGGGGGGCTTTATAAGTGATTCAATTATTTTTCTTAGAAGAAGAGCATAAAACTTGCTTTTTTTAAGATATTTATTGATCTATTTTGAGGTAGCATTTAGCTAAAGATATAACACGCCTTAGATCTATTTTATGGAAGTTAACTAATTAACTAAAGTTACAAACTCACTTGTGTAGTTCAGTACCATTATATTCAATGAGTAAAGGTGGGAAGTAAGCATAAGATGAATACAAAGGAGCGAGAGATGGATATATTAATTAGGATTAGGACAGAATTAGAGAATTAGTGTCGTGATTGTGATATTTGATTCCTGACTGATATTTTGTTCTCATTTATTCAATGTCTTGATGTACAATAGAAAAAGAAAGCAAAATAAATTAAAGTTGAGATTAGACTGATGGTGATTTGATTGAAATTTGGAGGTGGAACTCATGTCCTTCCAAGGCTTCTTCTTTGTTGGAATTGTTTGTTTAAGAATTACATCTAATCCTTGGTAGAATTACATTACTTCAACTGAAAGCATTGCTGGTGATGAAGAGTGAAGACCTACGCCTACTTAGTTGCTACGGTTGAGTTAATAAGAAATTATGCTCAAAATTAAAAGATTTATAAAGGTTCTATTTCAATGGCGGTGAGCTAATCAAAATAAAATCTCATCTTATCCTGATGATGACAGTATCAAAACAGACTCCATCAGGGCGGCTGAGGAGGGAGCATAACGTACACATTGGGGAGTAGGGTTATATATATGACAGAATAAGAGGAATGGGTTATATATGAAGGAAAATCATTTGTTACAAATATGGAATTGATGATCATGGCTAGTTAATTAGTTAACTTCCATAAAATTATTTCCATAAGCCCCTGATGGGTTATATATGAAGGAAAATCATTTGTTACAAATTAATTCCATAAGCCCCTGATGCATTACTTAATTTCTTTTTGAATTTTAAATTACTTATTGGGGAGTAGGGTTGTCCCTGATCTCAGCTCCTTTCTTTCATTCAGTCAAATTGGGGAGTAGAGTTGCTAGAACCAATTATGTCTATCTTCATGGGATGTGAAGTATATAGGTGTTTAGTATTACGAGCAAAACTGTAGATTATCTGAACTTGTTATTCGTTAGCAACTTAGCATTGATCATATCCTCTGAAAATGTAGTTCGGTGTAAAATTGTATTGAATGTTTGTCCTTTTTCCCTTTCAAAACCATCTCACTAATTGAGTCAATTAACCAACCAAATATCTATTATGTGGGGATGGATTGGACTCGGATCTCTTCGGTCTTCAAATTGAAGCACATGTAATTTGGACGATTGGATTGATTAATGTATCTTATACACCACAATGAAAGTGTCACACTGAAATATTCATATGGTTGTTTCTTGAAACGCCCCAACAAATTAAACAGCATGAAATGGAAAAACATTTACTGTTGCTAAAGTGTAAAGGGACATTTCTTGAAACGCCCAAAATAAACTTAATCAAACAACAAAAAGAAAAACGTTTAAAGTGGGCCCAATAAACATAAATGAAACCAAACACATACAAAATGATACAATATCTACACTTCAAAATTTGTTTTTGTTTTTGTTTCAAAAACCATTTGATGGCTTCACATACATGATTTTTGTTGGAAACAAAACCAACTTTCTTTTGCTTCTCAAAACAAAAACTCCATTCATAAAACACACTTTTGTTTTTCTGCTGATGTGGCAAGTTCAGAAACGAATGAAAACGAAAACATTGACGTTTATAGAACAACGCTCACCTCAATTGACCTACAACCAACAATGAATATATAATGCCCTCCACTATTATGGGTTATTTCTACATATTTGGAAAGACAACCAATAACAAATGCAAAAAAAAAAAAGTTTAACAAATCCAACAGCCACATAGTCTACCAATTTTATGGATCTACACCATAAATAATACATCATAATATTTAATTGTTGGTTCCAATATTTGTCTCCCCTCTATATTGGAATTGGAGTGCTCTCCTCATTTGCTATGGAAAACTGTAAAATATGTCTGAACAGCAGTGAGGAAGAGCGCCAAAGATGCAGCAACGAGAGCGATGATAGTCCAAGGGCTACGAAAATATTTGAGCTTGATTTCAGCAAACCATATCCTCCATTTTTGTCCACAGAATTTCTTAATCTCTGTCTTAGCCCCATTATAAATATTAGGATCCATCAAATTCCTACCCAGTTGATTGATAAGATCGGCTGCTTCTTCATCGCTACCAAGATTGTTAATGAGTACGCGGTCTGACCTTAATTCTTTGACATCATCAGCTCGATCAATTAATGAATCCAGTAAACAGATGTAGGAGGTTACGTTAAAATCATCCAGATCAAAACAACTTGTTTCATAAGCTATTAAGTTTAGAAACATAACCTCAGTTGACTTATCAATGGCTACCATAGGAAGTATCAGATCTCCCAAGATGAAGCCAGGCTTGAATTCAACCCTAGTGAAGCTTAACGATTCACTCATCTTGAAACTGATCCCTGCAGCTTTAAGCTCGCTGGCGGTACGAAACTGGTGTGTCGCTATCCTTTTTCTTCGAATGCTCCAATAAACTACACAGAGATAAGGAGAACATACGAGGATCGTAATGATTGTCAGAAGGCCCACAACCATGATCAATACAATCAAAAGCAAAAGAAAAGGCGAAAGAAGAAGAACAGCTAGCTTGCCCTTAGAGGTCAAGGAAGGAAGGTTTATCAGTTGATGAGTCACCACCTTTGATTCGTCGCCATTTTCTGGTTGAGATCCTTGGATTCGACCTTGATGTAAGGTTGATTTGTTGCTTCCTTGTTGATATTTTTTGACCAACATGCTTCGAAGGAGGTCAAGGAGATGACAAGGTGTAGAGTCATGGAGAATGTTGTCGTAATTTTCTGGCTTGCACCCAAAGACCAGCATGTAAACAAACTTTGAAGCCACTCTTTTGGATTTAGCTTTTCCAAATATGGAGTCCATCAACACCTCAAGGACTGGATATGGGAGTTGGTTCTCCAGCAATAGCAAGTCCCTTGCTACAAAAACTATCGTCTTACTATCCATGTTCAACTCCTTTAGATTTCTGCAAGTTATGCAGTAAATGAAATAGGCAACGAAACAACCGTCCTTAATCATCATATCAATGAATGCTTCAATATCTTTGATATCTTTTATTGAATCCTGCTCGTAGTAAGCCCGTGCATCTTCTGCTATCCCCTTAATCCTTTCCTTGTAGTCTCGTATTTTTATTTTCTTCCCATCTTTCAAAACAAAGTTCTTAACTTTCTTCTCATTGCGCTCCTGCACTCATTGATTTATAGGCTTCTTTGTTATTTAGGTGACGATGATAAGGACCGATAGTAACCACTTCTGGTTCATACGGCTTACTATTATTTACTATGTTGTTTTCTGACTCTTGCCTCATCTGATCTGAAACACGTGGTATCTTGCACTTTTTGTCTGTTCAAGTTGATCCTTGGTTTTCCTCCATTATGTAGATTAACCAATCCTCGTGATTCCCAACGTGCCTATGGCTTGAACCGGATCTCGAACTTTCTGCCATCTTGTTCTGTACAAGTTGCTACTTGTGGAGCTTGCCACCTCTGATTTCTGGGAATATTCCACTATAACGATTTCTCCAGCTAAACTGGAACAGAATGGCTGAATAAGCAACTAGAGCGGAAAATCGGGGCACGGCCCTGGCAGGATAATACGTCGGCCATGCCGAGCACGGCACCTCATGCTAGGTTTAGGGTTTGCACAGCCTGGCCCGGCCCGTGGTATGGCTGATATATTTTTATATATATTATATAATATATAATATATTAATATATATAATTATCGTATATATCAAAATTCATATAAAATAAAAATTTCAAGATTTTTTTTTTTAAAATAGGCCTTTCATATCTTGCCTGACATGGCCCAAGGCTCGGCCCATAAATCAGCCCGGGCCATGGCACGACATGGCATGACACGAGCCCATGCGGGATCAGGCCGTGAGTTGTACCGGGCCCAAGGTTCAAAGTATTGATACAATACGGCCGATATATAGTGCCAGTGGCTTCTCGATATGCCCCTATAGGGGTTGTATTGGGTCAGCCACTGGTTTAGAGGGTAGCTGGGCCTTAAACCAGCCCCTCCGAACTGATTTAAAAAAAAAATAAGTAAAACTACAAAAAAGCACCGACACAAGCCGATTGATGTATCGACCAGTATTGATATATTGAACCTTGACTAGGCTGACCCCCCAAATTATCTCAAAGGAGGGAGGCATGGCCCAGAATAGCCCATGGGCTGGCATAGAAAGTATGAACTACATGAAAGCCATGCTGTGCTGGCCCAACACTGCCCAATTTACACCTCTATAAGCAAGTATGAAGTAGCATCTCCAATATTTCTATAGCGTGTAGGAAGAAGGGGATGCAATGGGACAACGTGTACTAGCTACAACACTTGTGTAGATGAATAAACACCAAAAGGAAAGAAATGGAAGAATTAAGAGTTTAGGTTATCAAATTCTTTTGGTGGAAACTTTTAACAAACTAGGATTGATGCGCACGAGTAAGCCCATACTCGTTAATTTGGCAGTGTTATATTTATTTTTGGATAGGAAATGCATCAATAAGTACGTATTTGCCTTTGGAAAATAAGCCCCAATAAGTATTTATTTATTGAAGAAGTCTTAAAAATTTTTGAACTTTTTAAGTGTTTATATCTTTTCGGAGTAGTCTGTATCCCTATTTAAAATAAATGTCTTTTCACCGAACACTTAGTACTTATTTATCATTTATCAAATAAGCACTCCAAAACTCAGCCTAGGGGATTCAATAGGAAAAATTATGCTAAAGATAAAAAAGGGCATGTTCTTTATCTAGATTTTGAGAGGGGGAAACGTTGGTCGATTGTATTTTTGGTTCCCATTGACTAAGATACCTATGTTCTTTTTTCATATTTATATGGAGTCCATGGAGAATTTATTTTCCCTGGGTATCACTAACCCAAGTACCCATCTCATAGGTGGGTAAATAACTTTCACACTTAGGCCTCATTCGCTTTTTGTCAAGTAACTTACCCGGATAAATGCAATTACTTGGGCAAATTTTTCCTAGGAAATACTTACCCAAGTAAGTACATTTACCCATGTTCTTTTATTTCCCATGTAAATAAAGGCAATGGTCATTTTATCCATAAAAATCAATTATTAAAAGGTGCATATTTGTCCCATTCAAGTGTTGGCAACCTTCCCCCCAAGTGGGTGTTTCCCACATAAATCTAAACAAGGAACATGGGATTCTTGGTCAATGGGAACCAAAATCTCATTGACCAACTTTCCCCCTCTCAAAATCCAAAAAAGGAATGCCCCCTTAGGCGGAAAACTGCCGACACTTGGATGGGACAAAAATACCCCTTTTAATAATAATGGATTTTTATGACTAAAACAGTCATTCATATTTACTTGGAAAATAAAAGAACACAGGTAAATGCACTTACAGAGTAAACAATTACATGGGTAAGTGCATTTACCCAAGAAAGTAACAATCGAGCTAATCAAACTCTCTATTATTTCCTAATCTCACATTTCACCAAATGCATAGTCCCTCTTTTTACTCATTTTCCATTATAATTTGGTTGTCACCACTAAATCTAGTGCCTTGGAAAAACAAGGATAATTACCCTTGTCTCTTGCTTTTGCAATTGCCTTCTTTAATTATGTAATCCCCCTTTTTGTAAAAAAAATAAAATAAAATTTCTCTAAAACAAATAAAAGAGGGAGAAGGGGAAGAAGATACAATAAAGTCCTTCAAAAACAAGAACGAAGAAAAAGCTAAAGAAAAAGAAGCACTCAAGAAAGAATCCCTTCAATGATAATCCTGTGGCTTCAATAATTTTTATGTGTGTGTGTGTGCGTCAATATATATATTTACACACACACACACACACACACACTAAAACAAGGAATTCTATCTTTTTTGAATTCTTGATTTTATTTTATTCTATGTCATTTTAAAAATAACCAATTGATAAAGAAAGAGAGAGTTTTTTCTTTTTTCTTTTTATTTCTAGCCATGCGGCACAATTATCCCCTTTACTAGAGTCCCACTCTAAGGAAAACACACTCAATATTTTCTCCTAAATTATCTATAATTCGTATTTATCCTCTCCCCCGCTTTTTTATCTATATCTATTGAAACAAAGTTTGAATTAAAAATCTAAAATTTATTTAAATATTATAATAATAATATTATAAGAATTTTAAAAATATTATTAGAAATACAAAAAAATTATCATAAATTTAATAATATTATTAATAATTTTATATTTTTATGAATTTCATAACAAAATTATGTAATAACTATATAAATTACAACTCTATGGATTGTTCAATTTAATAACTAAATAATATTTTTAAATTTTAAATAACAAAATTATTTAAATTTTATTTAAGTAATAAAAATTTTAAAAATTAAAATATTATTTAAATTACTAAATATTATACCTCAAAAAATATTAAAAATAGCTAAATAATTATATAACAAAATATTTAATATTATGTAATAACTTTAAAATAGATAAAATTTAAATATTTATATAACTAAATATTTTATATAATGAAATATATAATATAACTAAAATTTAAATATTTAAAATAACAAAATTATGTAATAAATTTAAGAATTTCATAAAATAGAAAAATAATTATAATATATTTCATGATAATTGAATTAATAGTACTTTTATATTTTACAAAATTAATAACTAAATTATGTAATAACAATATACATTATAATTTTATGGATTATTCAATTTAATAAATAAATTTTATTTTAAAATTTTAAATATCTAAATTTTCAAGATTTTCAATATAAAAAAATTTTATTAACAAAATTTTATTTCAAATATTATTTAAATAAAAAAAATTATGTAATAACTTTATAAAAATTATTAAATGCACAAAAATAATTCTAATAGAATTAATACTATTCGATAATAACAATATAAAACATAAATAAATTATCAAAGATTTTAAGTATTATTGAATTAATAAAAAATAGATTAAATAATTTGGAGCTATTAAAGATTTCAAGTAATAAAAATATGTAATAACTATCAAAAAAATATTTTCATAAATATTAAAAAATATAACAATAGTTACAGTTATTATTGTACTAAGAATAAAAGCATTATTTAACTTATGTCAATTAATAAATCTAAAAAATAATTTTCAGAAAAATTCATATTTAATAATAACATTTTCAAAATATTTATCTATATCTATGATATGTTTATATTTACTAAAATTAATATTTATTGTATTTTTCATTAATTTATTTTTGTATTTTTTAATGAAATATATTTTCAATAATTATGTATAAATTGGTTTTCGTGTTGTTATTTAAATAACGGTAAGTTTTCTATCGCTATTGGAGATCATTAAACAATTGTTATTTAACGTTTTGTAATTTAATATACTGTACTTATTTGATTTATTGTATTTTTGTTATAAATTTATTTTGTTAATTATTTTTTTTAATTTATTGATTAATATTTATTACAGTTTAAACTGTTATTGAGATTATGCTATTTATTAATTAACTTAATATATTTTCAGTATTTATTATATTTTTGTAACTATTATTCTTTTATTAGTTATTCATTGTATTTTTGTTATAAATTTATTTTCAATAATTATGTATTTTTACTATAAATTTTCAATAATTTTTGGAGATTAAAGTATTGTTATTTGTTAGAGATTATACTATTAATTTAGCTAAAATTAATTTAATAATTCTATTTCATTGTTGTTCATTGTCTCCAACTCTGCATTTTTCTCTAACCTTAATTTTGTCTCTAACTTTCTTAGCATTTAGAAGTATTGATTCATGATCAATTCAAAATTCATCAGTTAAAAATATTCACTCACTCTCCATATGTGTCCACCTTTGGGAAGAACCTTAAATGGTTAAACCTCCCCCGAGATTTATTATAAATAGTAGAAAAATCCCACCTTTCTACAAGGACACTAACCATCCCCGAATGACTGGCTTGGATAGGCTACCCTCAATTTGTTCCCACATCTCTACCCATGGACATTATAGATGTGCATTAAGAATATATCCCTTTTCACTTATAGAGAGATGATTCCAATACAAAGCAATGGTGTTGCGTGGGTATAGATGTGAGAACATTTTGTGGGTAGCAGATTTGGAGGGCCAAATGACATAGCATTTAAACACTTTACCCTCACTTATTCGAGTTTGGATTGACTGCCCACACAATGTGACCCATTCGCACCACATAGGCACATCCCTAGAGATGTTCCCAATTCATGGAGGATGTGCGTGTGAGGCACGCTCCATGGAGAGTCTATTCAAATTCATAGAAAGTTGGGAAGCCACTAATATTATATATTCAACATATTAAATAAAAGGGTAAAGGACATAAAACATATCCCAAGTTTTAATAAATTGACTTAAACGTACCTTGGGTTTTTCATATAGACTTAAATATACCTTGTAGGCTGACCCCATTGGACTTAAGCATACCCTCCATCAATGAAATCTCAAATGTGGATTCATTTAAAATTTTTGAAATTCTATTTTGCCCTTTTGTGGAAGAAGAAGAAGAAGAAGAAGAAGAGGATCACTAGATTAGACTATTTTGGTACAATAAAGAAACTAAGGTGGCATTTGATAAATGTAAAAAGTTAAAAAATATTAAAAGTGTCTGAAATCTAAAAAGAGACATAGTTGCTTTTTGACTTTTTAGAGGCTCTGGATAAAGAAGGTTGTTTGTGTTGGTCAAACCTTCAACATCTAAAATTCATTGATTTTACTATTTTACCCCTAAAATAAACTATGTGGTAATTTTGAGTTCAATTTGAATTGTTTCATAAAAATAATTTATTAAATTCAAAACAATATTGAAAAATATGAGTAAATTATAAAAAATAAAAAAAATAATTTATTAAAATAAGAATAAAATTGAAAAATACATATCCATTTATAAATTAAAAATAAATTATTAAGAGTTAAAATAATAATGAAAATAGTAATGAACACCATGAAGAAAAAAAAATTAATAACTATCAAATTAATATCTTAAAACTATTAAAACATTTAATAATTAATAAAAATTAAAATAATTAATAATTAATACAAATATAATTTATAAAAAATAAAAAATAATTTATTAAAGTAAGACTTGTAGCGGCGATGGCAGGAAGATAGGGGAGGGAGGGAGAGAGAGAGAGAGAAATCAAAGAACCACCATTGTTGAGAGTTGCAGCGGCAATAGCAAGAAAGAAGAATAAGAAGAATTTTGTGTCGCACCATCGAGTGGAAAAGAAGAAGAAGAAGATGAAGAGAGGAGAACTTCCCAGTGGCAAATCTCCTTTCTCGAACCATGAGAGGAGTCGAATGACATAAATTTTTGGCTTATATAAAGGGCATTACAGGTCATTTCAAATTTCTATGGGGGCTCTTTTTTCTTTCGCGCACGTTTGAAATGCCTCTTAGCGCGTTAAGCACCTAGGGAGGCTCTTTTCTATTTAGATATAAAATTGGATTTCAGATCTGAAAATCAAACCCAACCCAAACGTAGGTGGCATCTGAAAAGTAACATTTTCAGACTTAAGATGTCTGAAAAATGCTATCAAATGCCACCTAAAACACAGATCTTATTTGATCTTATTTATTGTCAAGATCACAAAAATGAAAATTGAGAGAAAAATAAACAGTATCTTTAGTAACAGAAATCAGAACTAAGCTCTTTCTAGAGCAGGATAGATTATGAAATCATGTCTTATACATTGAGAAAGCTAGGTGGAACAACTAGAGCTTTAACAAAAATAACCTCATAAAAAATCAGCCCTATCAGCCATAGAAATATAAATAGGTCAAACTGAGCATTGGGGATAAGTACCTCCAATCACACAGATGTTGGGACACTACAATACGCTCTTGTGATGTAATGCTCCACTAGTTATTTGGTGTCTGCAAAGATCACAGGAAAAATGCAAACATCATAGGAAAAGCAAGAGAATTTATTATCTAAATATATAATTGATATCCTTTCATTAATTTGACAAAAAGAAAAGGAACTCTTCTTTCTTTTAATTAGAATTACAATGAGGGTATAGTCCAAAAGTCCATTAAAAGACACCTCAACTGCTGATATATATATAGAGAGAGAGAGAAAGTCACCACCCAGATGAATTTGAAAAACTCTGTGATTTTGAAAATTTGAAAGAAAATGAAGGGAAAAAGAGACACAAGGTATCTTTAAGTGTGAAAAAAAAACTCAGGTACATTTAAGTCAATTTAAGAAAAAAAACAAAAACTAAGTGTATGTTTAAGTAGAGAAATAAAAATTATTGTTATCAATGATCGAAATGGCCAAAACAAGAGAGAGAGAGAGAGAGAGTGTCCAAACTTCAAAGTTGTTGGCCAAATCGATAGTTTAACCACCCTGAATCCTAGTCATGTGATAGATTAACCGGTCTGGCCATCCGATTCAACCATGGGTTGAAAACTTTACATAAACTATAAGTAAGATGATTTGAAATTCAGTACTTAGATTAAATCATAGGATAAATCGCTGAAAACCTCCCCTGAAATTTAACAGTTGCGGAAACCTGCTGTGCTTTTTGCTATATGGCAATCAACTACCTTGAAGTTTATGACACTGTTACATCTACACACCTTATGTTAAAAAGGATAATAAAGAATGCTGATGTAATGTAGTTAAGAGACAGAGATGGTTTTATCATCTGATTTGAATTTACTTAGGCCATGTTTGGTTTGAAGGAAAAGGTAGGAAAATTTATACAAGATTTATAAAGATTTTCCTCCTTTTCCTTTCTTTTCCCTACTTTTTCATTCAAACAAGGTAACGATTTTTCGCAAATCTGCATCAACATATCATTAAATCTCAGAGAAAAGTAGAAAACTTTGAAGGGTTAGCTGTCCGCTTTACCTGTTTGAATAGCTTATCTGAAAGTGCTTCAGAAAACGGTTGAACCAGTTTAATTCAATTTTCAGATCATCTGATTCCTTCCAACGGGCTCGAGAGCTGGGGAAAATTTTGACTGTCCACAATCACTCAGGGAGAGGCTGTGGTTGTGGCTGTCGATCATGGATAGCGAAAATTCTCTCTTAGAGCAGATAACTAAGATAGGATTACACGAAACAAGATTAGAAACGAAGAAACTTACTGGATCCACGGCGCAAGAACAAGAACAAGAACCTCAGCCGTGTGTGAACTGTGAAGGGCGGCTATCTTCTACAGTTCTACAGTTCTATTTTTAGATTCGCCCAAAAGTCCTATGAATTAAAGATTGTAAAAACTGAAAAAAATAAATAAAACAGAAACAAAAATATGATAAAAACACCGTGAAGAGGACAAACAGTTGTTAGGTAGCAATTAGCAAATACGATAAATCAATCAGAAATTAATAACATTTTTAATTTTTTATAAAATTAATAATATTTGGTGGGTTTTGTTTTCAACAAGTCATTTGACGGTCCATTGAAAAAAACAAAAAACTATGACGGTGCCAACTGGCCCATGTAAGTGTAATCCACATTTGCAATCAATGGATTGTGTTAAAATTGAATGTGTCCAATTCATCTAATTTGAACAGATTGGATGGTCTAATTAATATAAATATTGAATTGGGCCAGTTCAGACTTAATGTTCCAAAGTGTTTAGTGGATTAGATTGGACCAATCCATATGTCATGTGTAATGGATTTATATTGCAGTGAGTTGGATTAAATTAATATTCCGACCATTGACACAAGATAAGAATAGAGGTGTCAATAGATGAATTAGGTTTGGACTGATGCAACCATTGCAATTTGAATTAAAACTAATTTGAACAGGTTAGAGAGGCAAACAGTTTTTGCTAGTTCAACTATCAGTAATCCAATCTAACTGCCTACAAGGTAGAGAGGCAAGATGATTAGATCTTGGAGAAGCACGGCATAAGCCTTGAAATAAAATAAAAATTATGGACTCTATACAAAATGAAAACTTTAGAAAAACAAACAAATAAAAGTTTTGTAAAATTAAATGTGTCTCATTTAGTATATATATACTACAATCTAACTTCACATTCCAGAACGGAAGCTTTAAATTATAGAATAAAAGTTTTTTTTTAAAAAAAGGAAGAGATTAAATGAATGAACTATAGCAAATACATAACTAGCCGCCCATCTTTTAACACCATTTAACTGATCAAGTTTATCTGTAAATGATTTTTCTGTATTTTATATTCAATGTTGTGACATCCAACTTTTTTTTTAAGGCAATGGCTAAATTCATTAATAATGCTCAAAAATTCAAATACAATCCATGAGAGTACAAACAGCAAACACAAAAAAAAAAGATAAATCCAAACGGATTGCAACAAATCCTAAGCACCTGGAGAAATTCTTGCAAGCGCTCTGCAAACGCCAATAAAGGAGGGCCGACCTCCAACAGAGTCAAAACTCTACAAGAAACTCCCGAAAACTGGCAAACAAACTAATAAGAGGAGTTACCAATCAAATCGAAAACTGACCAAGAGGAGGTTACAAAGCCACGAACCATGAACTGTAACTTCCAACCACGCCAAAAGCTGCAAAATACAGCATCATCCATAACTGCCACCGAACACACCGAAGAACCGCCGACTACAAGATGTATTCCAAAGAACACCAGAGAACTATAACGTCCATCCACAATGCCAGGGAACGGACAGTCCATTCACAACGTCAGAAATTGCAACTGTCATCTGAAAAGCCGGTGCCATCCAAGGCATTGGAGTATGAACTCAGCCATCTAGGATGCCGGAGAAACACATAAATGGAGATAAAACTATTTTCGAGCACCATCTCAGCCATCCAGGACGTCAGAGCACGAACTCAGCCATCCAACACTATCTTCGACATCTAGGACATTAGAGCACGAATTCAGCCATCTAGCACTAGCTCGGTCACCTAGGACGTTAGAAAGCCCGTAGAAAGAAAGCAAACAAAGAAACATAAAGAAGATGGGAGAAACAAAGAAAAAAGGGGTGATCCTCGAGAAATCTAGAGAAATCTCAAAGAGAAACAGAGATCTCAAGAGAGAGAGAGGGGGAAAAACACAATAAGAGGGGAAAAACACAAAAAAGGGGGAAGCATAGATCTTAGGAGAGAGAGAGAGGAAAGGGAGAAAACACAAGGAGAGAAAAACAGAGGGGAAAAAACACAAAACAGGGAAGAGAAACAAACAACAAACGAAAATATAAACAACCTCGAGAGATCTCGAGAGTAAAACCTCTGAAATCAGAGAGAGAAGGGGGGGTGACACCCTTTAGGGAGTCACTCCGAGTAATCTTCTAAATGGCAGAGTTTCCTTTTGGTTGAAGCGATGGGGGCACGCTCTGTCGCGTCTTTGTTGCGTCTCTATCACGAAATGAACACCGAACTTAAGTTTGTATAGATAATGACTCTAGAATTGCCTCAAATTGTGCCATGACATTTCCTGCAAATTAGTTGAACATAATAGTGATATCAATACAATGAATCTTATAGTTTGTTTACTTACAAACTCAAAATTTAACCACCTTTATTAGCCTCAAAATTCTAGCTAAGAGTAAGGATGTGATTAAATTGAGTTTAATCGAATAGTTTGGACTCAAATTAGATTAGGCTCAATTCGAGTCAAATATTGAAAGGTTGTGAGTTCAATTAATAAAAGGTTTGACTTACAAGCTCGTGAATTGGGCTCAATTCACATATGCATGCATACATACATACATACACACAAACATACATCTATACTGTTGAAGCCCATCTATCACACGGGGTCTTCTTATCCTTCCTTCAAAACCAAGGGGATTATGGAGTGCTTTTAGCCTACTGCGACTGTTATGTCAAGGTCCCCAGCCACGCTACAGCTTGTAAGGTATGTTCGAATGAGGGAGCTTTTGGGGATTGAATCATCTCCACCATTAAACTTGCAGCTCCCTCTTCCTCTACTACATTATGTCGTTTAAGTAGATATATCTCATATTTTAGGCCTTAGGTTTAGACCCTTGTAAACCTAGGTCTGGGCTTATGTTTTATGGCTTGCATTTTGGTCCGGGCCCAGGCGTAGGCTATAAACCTTATAAGGTGTTAAGTAAGCAACTAAACCCTTCCCTGCCCTGGTCCATGATCACCCCTAGTAATCGATTTCAATATTCTTTTGTTAAAAAAAACAAAAACAAAAACAAAAGAAAAATAAAACAAAAGTAGGAGACTAAATGAGTGCACATGTTATATTGTCATGTTTAAGTAGGGATGGCAATTTTCCCCATTTCCTTGATTCTCGTAGGGATCTGCCCCGAATGGGGTGGGGGTGGGAGTGATTTTCCTCTTGCGGGGATGGGAATGGGGAAATTTTCATCTATGTTAGCGGGGATAGGGAAAGCACTCCCCGCCCCGCAGGGACCCTGATCCCGGCCCCGTGGGATCCCCACTAATATATATATATATATATATGTATGTATGCATTTGTTATATATGTATATATGTACACATACATCTATATATTAATATTTTTAAAAATATGGTTGAATATGTTTGGATCTTTTCTAATAGGATTGTAAATTTTAATTATTTTATTTTTTAAATAAATAAAAAACCAAAACAAAATGGTTAACATTATAAAAGATCACAGGGAATGGGGATCCACACATGGACGGGGACGGAGATGGGGATGGGGATGGGGATGGGACTGGGGATCCCTGTTAGTGAGGATGGGGACGGGGATGGGGATGGGTATTTTCACAGGGACGGGGACGGGTAGTGGCTCCCCGTCCCTGCCATGCCCAGTTGCCATTCCTATGCCCAAGAACATTGACTGTTGAGCCCCAATAGGCGAAGTTTTCCCCAGCTTTTCTACACAGATAGCCCACATTCAATATTGGTTCATGGTTATAAATTAATAGATAATTATAAATATAAAAATTAGAATCAATTAAATCTAACTTAATTAAAATATATTTTTAAATAAACATAAAAATAATAATTTACATTAACTAAATTAATTTAAAGAACTTAATATATCTTAGTTAACTTAATTAATAATTAATTAACTAAAAGGCTTTTAAAAACAATTAATTAATTAAATTAACATTTAATAAAAATGAATTAATTAACTCAATTTAACTTAACTAAAAACCAAAATCAAACTTTATTAATAATTTATACAAAATATAATTATTAAATCTGTTAATGATTGTAAATTGTTATTATTAATAAAAAATATAATTTAAATGTTAAATTAATGAGACCTAATAAAAATTCATAAAAGTTACTAAAACTATTAAAACAAACATAAAGCAAACTATTAAACAATTAAAAAATTATGACTCCACCACCTTCAATTAGGGTTGCAAGTTTGGTGGGTCCAATCCGAGCCCACCTGACCCAATCCGAGCTTTTTGCACTGTTTAGGCCTGAGATTTTGGGCTACTTAACTCAAACTTTCTTAAACAAATACATACATACATTGTGTTTACTCAAAATATCCTTTCTTTTCTAATTATATATGCATGTTGGGTTAATCTTGACAAGAAATGGTGGGTTAAGCTTGGGTTGAGCTTGGATTGATAAACTAGAACTTGACCTCTGGTTGATCTAGGTCTGAGCCCAAGTTTTGGTGTTATACATAAGGTTAGGACTTGACTTTTCCTTCTCTCTTCCTCATTTTTCTCACAGATAAAACTGCTCTTGTTATGCTCAAAACAAAAGGAAGGGGATTAGGGATTCTACGACTGTGTCCTCAAGCTCCCCAACCCCAACCATGCTACAGCTTGTAAGGTATGATTGAATGATGGCCACCTGGGCGGCGATGAGGGTTTTGCCTCCAACCTAAAGGCCTAGTTACCTCAGCTTATGCCCTAGTACCATCTCATCCTTTCCCCTCTCTTTCTCCTTCCTCTTCTTGGGACTAAACATCATCTCCACCATTAAACCTACAGCTCCTACTTCTTCTACTGCAATTTATATATTCTCCCCCTTTGTCTAAAATGGTTGAGGGCTGAGAGGAAAGATCACACACAAGCTTACGCTTGGTTAGCGTGTTTATATAGATTTTAGTTGAATACATCTTATGTACAAGTGGCAGAAATATACAAGTAGGTGAGTCCTAGTAGAAGTCTAATAGTAAAAGAGATAAATATAGAGGATAACGTAGATAAGCCCAAGACAAATTTAGAAACACAATTTTTGAGTTTCCATTGAGAGTTTAATCCTTATCAGCCCCCCTCAAACTGAAGAGGGGTTTGACAAATTGAAGTTTGGATCTCATAAAAGAAAACTGTTGAGAAGGCAATGGCTTAGTGAGTATATCGACTAGTTGATCTTTTGATGAGATAAAGCAAACTTCAAGTTGTTTGGATGCTACCATTTCCCGTACGAAGTGATAATCAATTTCTATATGTTTTGTACAGGCGTGAAAGACAGGATTGGCCACTAAATAGCTAGCGCCAATATTATCACACCACAAAATTGGAGGTGAGGAGGTAGCAATCCCAATTTCATATAGAGTCAAACTACTACCCAAAGTGAAAAGATACTAAATCTTCCAAACACCTTTGTTGTTCGTCTAGATGGAACCAATTACTTACTCTAGAAATCATCAATTCTTCCAGTTTTGAGAGGAAACCATCTCTTAGGTTTTGTTGATGGCACAGAAAAATGCCTGCCCAAGCAATGCAACCACACTGACACTGCTAAAGCATCTACTGAAGTCACCATAAGCTTAGTCTATCGAGACTAAGTGCAGCAAGACCAACTATTAATGGGTTGGTTACATATGGCACTTACTGAACTGGTATTACACATGTTATTGGGTGCACCTTCTCTTGATCTGTGTGGATAACATTAGAGCAGTTGTATGCTTCAAAATCAAGAGTTTCGGTCATACAACTTCATTTTGAATTGTGTAGTTTGAAGAAGAGAGCTCTCTTTGTTCCTCAGTATCTTCAAAAAGTAATGAATCTCACAGATATTCTTGCTGCAGCAGGTGAGCCTCTCTCTGACACAGATTACATTCTTACTATTCTTAGTGGGTTCGATTCAGAATATGAATCATTTATTACTACTATCACTAGACGAGTTGATGCCTACATAGTGGAGGACGTCAAAGGTATGTTACTTAATCAAGAAATTCGATTGGGTCAATAAAAGGCTCCCATGGTTCTCTTGATTCAAATTATCCAGTTATTAATATGGTTGTTAAGGGTAATGCTAATTTCAACAACATAAATGATTCTCTCTAAGGGCAACAAATCTTACCCCCAATATAAGTGTCAAATCTGTTGGGGTAAGAATCATTATGCTTTTAAGTGAAATTACAAGCTTGACAGGAACTTTGAAAGAGAAAGTTCTAACTAAACAATAGAAGCAAGCTTTTCATGTCTCCACTGACTCATTACGTGGTGAAGCTTGGTACCCTGATTCAGGTGCAATGAACCACCTTACGACTGATCTTCCCAACATGAGTGTGCATTCAGAATACACTGGCCCTAATCAACTTCGTATAGGCAATGGATCAGGTTTTCCTATAAAACATATTAGTTCTTCTATTATTCCTTCTTCAAATAGAAATTTGCATCTGAGAAATATTCTGCATGTTCCTCATATTACCAAAAACTTATTATCAATTGGTCAATTTTTGGTAGACAATAATGTCTATTTTGAATTTTATCCTCATGTCTTTTATGTGAAGTATCTTCTCACCAAGAAAGCTCTTATCCAAGGGGTGAATGAAGGTGGCCTTTACAAGCTTTCCAATTCACATAATATGGATACACATTCACCATTTGCAGTTGTTGGAGAGTGCACCAATATAAATGTTTAGCATAGGAGATTGGGTCATCTTGCACCTAAGGTGGTTCATTCTATTATTAATAGATTTTGTTTGCCAATAGATTCTCATAATAAATTAGAATTTTGTGGTGCTTGCAAAATGGGTAGAAGTAAAAAAACTACCATTTTATTTTGATTATGCTACAATATGTTCACCATTAGAGGTTGTTTTCATAGATGTTTAGGGAATTGCCCCTGTAGCCTCTCCTCATGGCTATAGATATTATATTATTTTTGTTAATGGTTTCAACCGTTATTATTAGATATATCCCATGTCTCACAAATCTGATTCCCTTTCTATCTTCATTAACTTTAAGCGCCTTGTTGAGAATCAGCTTGACACAAAAGTTGAGGCCATTCAGTCTGATATGGGTGGTGAGTATGTTAAGTTTCATAAATTTCTTCATTGCTCATCAATTTTCCTGTTCTCATACACAAGAGCAAAACAGTAGAGCCGAGTGTAAGCATTGACAAATTGAAGCTATAGCGCTGACCTGCCATGACATCCATGCCCAAACATTTTTGACTTGATGTCTCTCAAACTGTTGTTTATTTGATGAATCGGCTACCTAGTGTTGCAGTGAATGGCAAATCTACTCTCGAATGTCTATTTCATAAGAAGCCAAATTATTCTTTCTTAAAAATTTTTGGGTGCCTATGTTTCCCATACATGCGGCCATATAACAAGGACAAACTAGACTTCATATTTGTACCATGTGTATTCTTGGGTTATAGCCTCCAACGCCATGGATATCGATGTCTACACATACTCATTAAGCAGCCAACTGCAGCTCTTGTTAAATCTTCATTTGTGTTATTAAATGGACCTTCAATTGTTACTTCTTAGCCCAACACTCACAAAATCCCTGCTATTCCATCCACAAGTGAGTAGACCCACATTTAGGATACTATTATGGCCCACAACACAAGCTCATTCTGATCACTCAACTGTAATCATACCTCCTATTTCAAGAGGGTTGGACCCACCTAGTTCACTTGATAATTATGCAAATACCACCTCTGGTCCACCCATCAATCCACTCAATACACATCATTTGCAAACATACCCATTGGCGCCAAGCAATGGAAGATGAATTTAATGCTCTTTTACGAAATGAGACTTGGACCATAACTCCTACAAAGCCTCGCATGAATCTATTGGGCTATAAATGGGTTTACAAGTCAAGAGACAGGCTGATGGGTCTATTGACCATTACAAAGCCTGTCTTGTGGCCAAAGGGTTTCATTAACAAGAGGGTCTTGATTATTCTGAAACATTTAGCCCAGTAGTAAAGCCTACCACCATAAGAACTATTATCAACCTTGCCATCTCAAATCATTGGGCTTTACATCAATTGATGTGCAAATTGCATTTTTCATGGGTCTCCTAATGAAGATGTTTTTATATACTCCAATCAATTCTACAAGTTGTCAATGTCCGGAGTCGTGATGTATAGCTTTGGAATTCAGGTACCATGTTGGGTCAAACATCTGTTCCTGTTGTGTGAATTGAAATGTTGTGATTGATACTGAGGCTGATATTGGGTTGTGTTCACGCCACCATGAAAATCAAAAGGATCAATAGAATCATCATTCTAAAAACCAAAAACATACCTTGCCTTATGTTACTATAATGCGCTATGTCCATTTTTTTTCAGATTTGGCAAACCACACCTAGATTTTTATTTCCTCAACTGCCATTAAAGAACGACTGCTACTGATTAGAAAAATTATTTTGTTGAATGGAAAGGGTCCTCAACCCGACCCCTGTTGTGGCCACCATTGAAATTCGGAACAAATTGTCGAGGGATCTTCCCTTACTCTTGATAGTTTTTACTTTTGGCACCAGCAAAATTAGCATTTATAAAATTATCATTCAAATAACGGGATTTCTCTTCAAGCAAACTTTCATGATTAAGAAGGGAACCAAGAATATCTTCAATGCCAAAAGTATCAGCGGGTTGATTGGTAATAGCGGTAGTAAAAAATTCATACTCACTACCAAGACCAACTCAAATAAATAGAACAAGATCAAATTTAGATACAGAGTCAGATACGGTCGATAAACTATCTATAATGGCTCTTGCTAGTTCAACATAAGTCGAGATGGATGCAAATATGAATTTCAATAAAGCATATGCCCATTTTTATCAAAAGCCCACTTGAATGCAAATTTACTTCTTTTTTTATTGATGTACTTTTACATCTTATTATCAATGTAAATATTAGAGGAGCCCCCACAAATATACTTGTTTTCATCCCCCGGTCGAATCTTTGTGAGTCAGGATCACCTGCCCACGAGAACTCTGCCCATGCCTACCCACAATACGCTACCCCTCGGGAATTAGGAACATCTTCCCCTATATAATACTATGCAGAGGTTGAGATGTTCTCTATGTATGACTCTGAGAAAACCAAATTATTGTATTTTCTTCTTCTCCAAACAAAAACACAGCTCATGAAACATGGACCTTTTTATTTAATTATTTATTTATTTTTTGTTCATGTGGAAATTTTATAAACCAATGAAAACAAAAATATTCACATTCTAGAACAGCCCCTCAATTGAGTATTGATTATTAATGCTCCATGACTATTATAGGTTACTTCAACGGAATTAAATAAACAAGAAAAAGATATATAACCATAACAGATGTAAAAAAAGTTTACCAAATCCAACAGCGACACATAATTGCATCATATACAATATTTGTCTCTCCTATATATTGTAATTGGTGGGCCCCCCTCATTTTCCATGGAAAACTGTAAAATAGGTCTGAACAGCAGTGAGGAAGAGAGCCAAAAATGCAGCAAAGAGAGCAAGTGATAGTCCAAGGGCTACGAAAATATTTGAGCTTGATTTCAGCAAACCATGTCCTCCATTTCTGTCCACAGAACTTCTTCATCTCTATCTTAACCTCATTATATGTATTAGGATCCATCAAATTTCTTCCCAATTGATTGATAAGATGGGCCGCTTCTTCATCGCTGCCAAGATTGTTAATGAGTACGCGGTCTGACCTCAACTCCTTAACATCGTCGGCACGATCAATCAGCGAATCCAGAAAACAAATGTAGGAGGTTACCTTGAAATCATCAAGATCAAAACAACTTGTTTCGTAGGCTATTAAGTTCAGAAACATAACCTCGGTTGACCTATCAATGGCTACCACAGGAAGTATCAAATCTCCAAAGATGAGACCAGCTTTGAAATCGACACTACTTAAGCTTAACGATTCACTCATCTTGAAACTGATCCCTGTAGCTTTGAGCTCGCTGGCAGTACGAAACTGGTGCGTTGTATCCTTTCTGCTTCGAATGGTCCAAACCAACAAGCAAAAATAAGGAAAACTCACGAGGAACATAATGATTCCCAGAACAATTCCCAAAGCAAACGACACTACTATCAAAAGCAGAATAAAGGGTGAAAGAAGAAGAAAGATCAATGCGACAAAAGAGTATGAAACACATTTTGTTAAATTGTCCCATTCCAGATCATCTTCTTTGTCAGTCTGACGTTCAACAGGAGGACTTTCCTGTTGAGATACCGTTGATTTGTCTTCTTCGGGCGGAGTACTTTCTCGTTCTGATCCTCGACCTAATCGTCGACCTTGACGCCGATGTGAGCTTGATTTATTGCCTCCCTGTTGAGATTCTCTGACGAACATGGTCCGAAGGAGATCAAGGAGGTGACAGGGAGTAGATTCTTTAAGAATTTTGTCAAGCTCACGTAAAGATGGATCACATTCTTCTTGCTTGCATCCGAGAACTATCATGTCAACAAACTGTCTAACCATTCTTGTGAATTCATTTTTATCAAATATGGTGTCCATCAACACCTCAAGGACAAGATATGGGAGTTGGTTTTCTAGCAAGAACAAGTCCCTAGCTACCGAAACTATCGTCTTACTTTCCATGTTCAGTTGCTTGAGATCTCCATTCGTCACACAGTAAATGAAATAGGCAACAAAGCAACCATCTAAGAACATCATACCTGTGAATGTTTCATCGTCGATGTCTTTTACTGAATCCTGATCGTAGTAAGTCCTTGCATCTTTAGCTATCTCCTCAACCTTCTTGTACAAGCCTTGTATTTCTACTTTCTTCCCATCTTTCAAAACAAAGTTTTCAGCTATTTTCTGCTTGTGGTCCTGCATTGGTTTACAGGATTCTTTGTTCTTGTGATGGTGGTAAGGACCAATAGTAACCACCTCAGGTTCATATGCTCTAATGTTATTATTAACTGTATTATTGTCTTCTGATGAGTTGTTTTCTGCTATTTTCTGCTTGTGGTCCTGCATTGGTTTACAGGATTCTTTGTTCTTGTTATGGTGGTAAGGACCAATAGTAACCACCTCAGGTTCATATGCTCTAATGTTATTATTGACTTCTGATGAGTTGTTTTCTGACTCTTGCCTCATCTGAGTCGGAACACGTGGTATCTTGAGCTTCTTGTCTGTAAAAATTGATCCTTGGTTTGCCTCCATAATGTTTATTAACCAACTCTCATGATTTCCAAAGTGGCTATTGTGGCTATGGCTTGAGCCAGATCTAGAACTTTCTACCATCTTGTTCATGGATAACACTCTCTCCGCAAAGAGAAACATTTTTTTTTTCTCTACTTCGGGAGCTTTGCTACCTTTAATTTGATTTCTAGCAGAATATTCCACTATAACAGTTTCTTTAGAAGAAGGGGATACACTGCAACAATGCGTTCTAGCTATGGCACTTGTGTGACTGCACTCAAACACCTACAAGAAATGGAATTAAGAGTCAAGCTAACCAAATTCTTTTACTAGAAATTGTTGACAAAGTTGGAGTGAGTTGATTTATAGAGGATTGAATTAGAAAAGTAATGCTACAGTTAGAGGGCGATGAGTTTTCTGATTTTAATTAAAAGTCAGGTTGACCAAATTCTATGTTCTCTCCTAAACTCACCCCTACTGAATGCCTATTCTCTCTTTTCACTCATTTTCCATTATAATTTTCACTTTCACTGTTAAAACTCCTACACCCAGTACCTAGGAAAAACGAGAACCAATACCCTTGTCTCCTACTTTTGCAGTTGATTTCTTTACTTCTGCAACCCCTTCCATGGTCATCCATTGTCTTCAAGTAATTTGTTGTATTTCTTTATAGTTCATTGTGAAACTCTGCATTTTCCTTTAACCTTAATTTTGTCTATCTTCTTAGCATTTAGAAGTTTTGGAGCAAAATCAATTCTAAATTCATCAGTTAAAAATTATTCGCTCACTCTCCATATCCTTGTCCATTTCTTCTTTACTTTGGGAAGAACCTTAAACCTCCCATGAGATTTATTATAAAAGGTTAACTTTAATTGGCTGATAAATGTAATTACTAATTTACCCATTCATCTCCGATCTTGGCCTATTTAATTGAAGAAAGTAAATGAAAGAAAGGTTTATGGAAATAAATATTGACCTGAAACAGGGTTTTATCATGCACTGATCACCTTTGGAGTCGGGGCATTTCTAACAAAAAGTGGAAGCACAAGGTAGCCACTTTTCCCAAGTCTGCATCAACATCATTGAAAAGGAAATAGATTTTGTTTTTCAGAACAAAAAGAAGTAGCACAATCACAATATAGCAAAATGAAACAAGAACTGCCACATTTTCTTGTATCAGTGGAATTGGAGCAGATGCATACGATAAAAAGAGAAGGTGTTAGGAAAGTAGGAAAAAGAAAATCATTAATCTCAAAGAAGAACATTTGAAGAGTTGCTCACTTCAGCATCCTTGAATAGCTTATCTGGAGCAGTTACAGATCAAATGGGCCTGCTGTCCGCTTTTAACCTCTATGGATAGCTTATCTGAAGCGCTTCATATATAGCCGTCGAACCAGCTTTAACTGAATCTTCAGCTCAGCCTTTGTAAACGGGTCCTAAAGTTAGGGAAAATTTTTGGCTGTCCACGGGCGGATGATAGAGGCTGTGGTTGTAGCCGTCGATCATGGATAGCCAAAATTTTCTCTAAGAGCTGATAACTAAACATTACATGGTAAACATTCAACTGATTAATAGAATCCAAGAGACTTACTCGATCCACAGCTCACTCTGCAGTTGCCTTGGGAGGAAAAACAGAGCCTTACTCAACTACCTCATCACTCATCAGCTTTATGAAGGGACATCTTCTGCTTTTAGGGTCAACGTTGCCACATTTACAATGAAGATTCTCGGGACCCAAATTTGTTACCCAATCTCATTCCGACCGTCGTTCTTTACACCTGTCCCCCATCCTAACTTTGTAAAAGAATATTAAAAACCACTTCGGTGGATGTTTCTGTGAGGCGCCCCAGCAAATCCCGTTCCTCATTGAACGTGCTTACAAGGTTGTGCTTCCTAGATCGCCACTACTAGGGGAAGGAAAGAGTCTAACATGACTGTGAATCCCGAATGGTTCATTAATTTGCTTAAAAAACTACAAAGTTTTTAAAATTGACCCGGAGAACGACCGACAGGGGTCCGGTCTCGAGTCGAACGGTCTAACCATTTGAACTGAATGGTTGGTCCATTCTGATAAAAAAAATTAAAAAAGGTTAGAACCGTTCAAACGATTAACTACCTGAGTCAATAGTTTATTGACTAAAATCAACAGTTATTGACAAAAATCCGATTTTAACAAAAAACGGATTCAAAGATCATGACCGGTTCCCAGTTTTTCCAATCCAACCATCCGGTCCGGTCTCATTTTGAAAACCATGAAAAACTATTCTAGTTGGCCAAATTTGATGCCGACCGCTCACGTGATAAGAATTAACGTGGTGCTTTGTGGTAGGTCTGAGCACAACTGCAGGCGATTGAGGGACTGACCATATTGTAAAAGGACTTATAAAACCAGAGAAGCAAAGCAGGAAATATGAAAGAACCTAAGAAAGGACAAACAGTCGTTAGGTAGCAGGTAGGACAAATCGGCCAACCAGCTCAAGGGACAAATACCCCCTTATTTCGGTCTTATAAATATCAAACTTATTTTATTTACATATTTGACGGTGCAAACCGACCCAGGTGAGATCTTGGAAAAAACGTTGGCTGTTTATAATAAGAGTTAAAAGCGAGATGGTTATTTATCAAATTCCTCGGGTTTTTGATTGCCTTCCCATATCATGTCTTGATAGATTTTTAATTAAAACATGAGCTCAGATCTCTTGAAACTTGAAAGCAAAAGCTGGGAGATATCTCCGATGTGGGTGAGATGCCCCGCGCTTTCAAACTTGTTCGATCATGTGCATCTTGAGAACTCAGTAACCACACATGCATGTGGATGTTTTTACATTTTAGACTTCGATAATTTTCAGTATTTAGGGTGGCGGGTGGCAAGGTGGCACAATGTTTTCAATCCATGGTTGGTTCAGTCAGTTGAACTGTTCAAATTGTTATCCGGTCAAGATTTCAGGTTTGGTTCAATCAAGACTTGCTAGACAGTCAAAAACTGTTGATTTAGTCAAGAAACGTTTGATCTAGCCGGTTCAATGGCTGATTCTATCACCAAATCGCAAGTTGTATACTCAATGTATACAAACTTTCAAAGGCCATAATTTTGTATTTCGATATCCGATTGGAGTGATTTTTTTTTTTATTTTTGATTGGGTAATTTTTCGAGATCTATACGTTACAAGGCATCTTGCCATTTTGCCAAAAAAAAAAAAAAAAAAAAACCATTTTTTGACTTCAAATTACAATTTATAATATATATATGATACGGTATGAACCATTCAACTCGGCTGATCGAACCAATAACCTACGACTTAGAGGCAAAAATGGTTCGGCCTCAGAATTAGATTTTAAAACATTGAGTTGGCATCATCCACCTCATTGGCTGCAACCTTTTGTATAGTTTTTGAGCCACCAAAATGAATAAATAATAAACACTTACCGAACCAGCTAATTTTATACTTCTCTCAATTCAAAGCCAATCTCCCAAGTTGGTATCTGCATTCCAGATTTCCACCTCTTTAACGGTAAGCGATCCAAGACCTTACAAAAAACCACCGTCATCTAGTGGTGCCTTCAATCTATTTGATGCATTTCATCATCTACCTTTGCATCAATCTAGAAATATATGACATCGGTGTTGGAAGGAAGTCGTTTTTGGTACGTATATAGAATTATTGTCATCGGTGTTGGAAGAAGTGAGTCGTTGGCTACTAACTTGTGGAAGAGTAATTGAATTTGATCATTCGGTTATAGTTTATTGTTGATTTGATTTAGTTTCAATTTCAAGGAAAAAGACAACGAAAAGTATTTTTTTAAATAATTTCAGAATGTTATAAGATCACGTGTATTAGTTAATTGGCAAACTACTAAATTATTAACACCTATGGGTGTCAACTGTTAATGTACTGGACTGGACCTCTCTCTTTTGTTTCACGGTCTTCCATGTTTTAAAGTTAAAACTTAAAACATGGCCATGGTCCATGGTCATTAACGTTAAGGAATTCATGTTTGTTGGTTTGTTTTTTCTTTTTAAAAACCAGAAAATTTTGAAAGGGTTGAGTAGCAAAAGAGCCTTCTCACCCATAAACAAGCTTTGTTGCTGCATTAACTCAACCATGACATCATGGAGAAGATGAATATAACAGAGACCGAACGGCCTGCTCAGGGAAAGAACGACAATGGATGCATGCTTCCTCCTTTATTGCTGTTTACTTTTCCTTTTACCGGTGCTCTCTGTACCTGCCGATGATAATTTGGTTGAACTTCTAATCTTGGGTTTTAATGAAATTCTAGTCTAGGCATAGAGAAAGAGTAGAATTTGCATGTGTAATTATGGAGACAAGAACAAACTTTCTTTTCTCTTCTCCCATCCCTGCTGCTGCAGAACTCTTTAAGTGCCTCTAGCTAAAGTAAAAGCATCCACTCAGCAGCTGAATTTTGGTGAGTGCGACAAATGTCTTGCCCAACTCTTGTACCATGTACATGGATCATGGACCACATGGCGAATTGGCGATAGTTGTGGGCAGAAAATCCATAGTGCTCAAGTCCAGCCCAAAGCCTAAATATGAAGCAGTGTAAAATGTTCATGGGCCGAGTCCTCTAGCCCATGCATGCTGGGATGTGCTGTGGGCACGTGTGGGATGTGCACTGTGGAAAAGCAATTCAGTCTGATGTGGGACCCATGATGGTTATGAAGCTGGTGGAACTTATCGTGATTAGCCCCGTATACAAGTAAAACTGTGGGTACGCCAACAAGTGAGCCCCTCATGTGGGACAATTTGTTGGGTCTATATATTTCACCTACGGGCACTCCTTTGCAACCCCCAAAATATTATTAATATTAATATCAATATAATAATATTATTAATACTCATTTGTGATGTGGAAGAATCAATCGCTTGTTCCAATATTAATTCTATGTTCTTTTAAAATTTTATTATCATTTTTAGTTTCTTTCATGGGGGAGTTAATCTAGAAACAAAGCTGAGTTTGATTATTTAAAATTTTGTTTCGTTTGAAGGAAAAGGTAGAGAAAGGTAGAGAAATCTTTACAAATAAAGATATGAAATTATAGAAAAATTTATACAAAATTTAAAAAAATTTTCTTATCTTTCCTTTCCTTTTTCCATTTTTTCCTTTAAACTAAACATAGCTTAAGGGATAGGCCTGGTCCCATCCCATAAGAAGCCTGAGATTTTAGGCTTAGGCCCAACCCAACAACCAAAAATCCAAGCTCAGCCTGTACATTGCAAGCTGGGTCGGTTCGGACTTGAGTTGGGCTCACCAAGTTGCACCCCCGCAACAATTAACATAAGGAAGATTCTAGAATAATTTCTATTGAGGGAAAAGACAAACCATATAAAAGTGAGTCTTCATTATATTTCATTTCTTTTCTCATTTTAAAAGTGGTAACCAATAAAGTGAGTCTTCACCAAAATTTGCGGGTGATTGGTCAACTTTCTAGTTCCATATATTTCTCCAAAGTTGTAGGATGGGGGGTGGGTGGGGGTGGGAGATTAGGGGTGATCATTTCAGTTTGGCCAGGCTTAGAAATTTCAGACTTGGGTTTGAGTTTTGTGTTCAGGTCCTGCTTAGAGCCGAGTTCATATCAGACCAGCAAATTCTAGGGCTGGGCTTGGGTTTAATACTTTAAGTCCGGCCTACTCTGCATATATTTAAAATAACACATTTTGTGTATAATGTATACATATGTATATGTGTTATTTTATATTATATTATATATTTTAAAATATTACAACATGACATGTATAATTTATATTATATGTAATATTTTATATTATATAATATATAAAATAAGTTTATATACATGTTATGTCATTTAATATATAGATATGTAATGTTTTATATATGAGTGACATTGGCCCAAAATCAGGCCCGGCCTGGCCCAGGTCCGTATAGACTTGGGCTAGGGCTTATGTTTTAGGACCAGAACCCCGGGACAGGCCGGGCCTGTGCCTAAGCTATAGCCCTTGTCTTAAGTGCAAAGCCTGACCCAGCCCATGATCACCCCTAATGGGGATGAACTGCCCCACATTGTAACCCCATGAAAAAAAAGTGATGATTCATCAACTAGGGGGTGCTTTGTGAGAATTAGAATATTTTGGGCAAATTTGTGTAGGGTTGTCAACAAGTCAGGTCTAGGTTAAACCAGTCTTAAATTGATTATTAATTGAAACAAAATCATAAACCCAGAAACCACCCTAGTTAATAGTCAGGTCTAATGGGTCCAAATCTGATTATACTGAAAATTATATTTATGTATTTAAATGATAACTTAAAATTTAAATTTTGATAATATAATTTTGATAAAATGATTGAAAAATACTAAATTATTTATATATTAATAAATTAAATAATTTTCACTAATATTATCTTATTTATTATCTATGAAATTTACTATTTTAAACTTAAAGTATGATAAAAGAATATTATATATTTAATGAAATAATCAATTCTGGGTATGAATTGATTCGAAAAGTTATAAGAAAAGTAGAAAATATTAAATATTTAATAAAATAATCAGTTCTAGGTATGAATCAATTTGGGACTGGAAAAAACCAAAACCAACTCAATAATCAATCAAAACAAAATCATGGAACAAGAACCATTACTTGGGTCCATCAGGTAAATCCGGCCCATTGACATGCCCTAAATCATGTTCTCTCCATTGTGTCTACCGACCACAAGGCTTCAAATTTGGAATAGTTCTCTCTATGAATTTTGAGGATCTATGTGTAAGGTGCATGGACAGAACCAACAATAAGACAGATTTTAAGAAAGGCATTTGGAAGCAAAAGTGTCATACGTGGTCAACATAAATCTCT